GAACCATTCACTCCTCAATTATAATTTACATTTCTTTTACTGCCTAATAATTGATTTCTTTTTTCTTTCCTTCAGCTATGAGTCATTTAGTAGCTACTTACTGCTTTGCTTTCAACAATATTGTGTACCTCCCTTCATTATGCAACTGCTTTATGAAAAGGTTATCTCAACAATTTTTACAACTTTTAACAACATCTCAATACTGTCACTCCCCAAAATGCTTTTATATTCCCTTGCTATCTCCAAGTTGTACAATTTCAAATACTGAGTTGCCTTTCAGCCACAGTTTCAGAACAAAGCATTGTGACTTTAAATGTAGGATGAGAGAGATTAACTCATCAACATGTCTCCTCGGATTCCTGGGACTTCTTTTTCAGGAGGTCTCTTCTGTTCTTACAATCACAGATTGAAACAGAGACTTGAAAGAGTCTTCATTCCTTGCCTTGGTTGAGTGCCTCTTAATTCAACAAGATCATTGCATCATAAATATCTGGAAGGATGTGCCTTTACTGTACCCATAAAGTTAAACAACCTGCCAATGATTACCCAAAATTGTTTCAACCATAGCAGTCCACAAAATCACTCTGTCCTCTGAACTCTTATGATACTTAGTATTTATTGACTACTTGTAGTTATCTCCCTTGTATTTTTATTGTGTTTCTTTTTTATCTTCTGTCTTTTTAGAGATATTTTATGTCCTTAAGTGCAAAGGCTGAACCTAAGACAGTAATCATGCACACACATATATAATGAATAAACGTATGCACATATATACATACATACACATATACATTTTGTGGTTTGGTTCAGGTGCTACATCTCTAATACAGGCCTGCAATCCACTCTGTCTTCAAGGTGACCACCATTTCAGGTCTCCCTTTCATCTGTCATTACCTTTTTTATTGTTAGACCTTTCCTGAAATCCTCTATGAATCTCATGATTGAACACGGATGGTATCCAGGTCTATATGGAGCTTTCCTCATTAGGAAAAGGAGGCAGAGGGCCACAAGGGACACATCATAAGAAGAAACCAAAAAGCACTGCCCTTGAGAGTTAAATAGGCTCAGCTGGTGTTTTCATATCAGAATTAAACTATTTCTAAATCAGACTCTTAGCTTCTAGGGCAGGATTGCCTAGTTATACAAGATAAGCCAACAACAAGTATCCAGCAATTTATACAAAATTCTGGTACCATGAGGCTAATAGTTGGAATACAACAGATAGCCTAAAGTTAAGAAGACTAGAAAGGGATAAGAAGAATAAAAATACACAGGGAATGGCACAGCTGAAGTGGTGGGAGATGAGGAGGCAGAGGAGAAGCACAAGATATGGGCGTTATAGAAGCCAAGTATCAAATTCACTGCTGCCACTAGCAGGATAGGAACTGAAGAGATGCCACCATGTCTGTCAAATAGAAGGTCCCTAATGGCTAGACAAGCTTCCCTAGACCGGTGAGAATGGAATCCAAATCAAGTAGTACGTAAATCAGAGGCGGCACGTAAAGACCAGAATACGCTCTTTCAAGGTCTCCAGTTTCAATAATAAAATAGACATAGAGGACTTAAAGGAGATGGTAGACCAGCAAATTAGGACTGTTTTAATACAGAAAACACAAGAGCTTATTTCTTGGCTGAAAGGGAAGAAATTAAAGCATATTTAAAAGAGAGAAGGTTGGGAGGCCAAGACGTGTGGATTGCTTGAGGTCAGGAGTTCGAGACCAGCATAGCCAACATGGTGAAACCCCGTCTCTACTAAAATTAGCTGGGTATGGTGGCACACACTTAAGAGTTCCAGCTACTTGGGAGGCTGAGGCAGGAGAACTGCTTGAACCCAGAAAATGGAGGTTGCACAGTGAGCAAAGATTGCACCACTGCACTCCAGCCTGGGTGACAGAGTGAGACTCTATCTCAAAAAAAGAGAGAGAGAGAGAGAGAGAGAGAGAGAAGGAACTGATCCAGAACTTCGGGAGGAAAAAGGGTATCTTCTCTTCCTCTTCTGATTTCACGCTGCCTACAAAGTTTCTGGCCATATTTCTTAATTTTTATGTTTATGACGGACAAATTTCTTGAATGGTTATGAGTGCTTTACTGCAAATATTCAAATTATTTTGATTATTTGATTTTATAAATCAAGATGGTAATACTTTTTGACTTACATATCAAGTGACTTTAATTGTATGTGCTTTTCTATACATTTTGAATCATGGTCTTTATACAATAAACACCTACTGATTAGCTTTTTGTCATTTGTAAATTTTTTATTAAAAACTCTCAATAATTAGTCTTCTTTTTTAACTTAACATTCTTGGAGTATATAATTAGTCATTTTTTGTTGTTGTTATTGTTGTTTTAGAGATGGGGTCTCCCTTATTTTGCTGAGGCTAGTCTCAAACTCCCAGTCTTAAAACAATCCTGTCACCTCAGCCTCCCAAAGTGCTGGGATTACAGGCATGAGCCACCTCATCCAGCCAATCATTAATCTAATATGTAAATAAAATGAAGTCACCAATAAATTTCTAAATGCACCTTCATATTTTAAAATACATTAAATTCCCAGCGAAACATCCTGACATGTTGTTAACTGGTCATAGTCACACTCAAAATAGCTTACAATATGTCATAAAATTTTTTAGGATGGAAATATAAAATAGCTAGTTTTTAACATGAAGGAAAACAAACTAGTAGGGCAGTTGCTGGGCCCTAGGTTTTCACGACCTCCCCCATTCCACCTGTCAAACCAACATTCACATTCTCTTCTTACTAATCCCTTCTTAAAGCTAATTTCAACTCCCCCTTATCCAGGGCAAAGGTTCAGAGGGAGAGGGAAAATAAGGACATTACTAACCCTGACTATTAAACTGCAACATTAGTCCACTGCCTACTATCTGCTTTGCCATCACTCTCAGCACCTCTTCCTCTTCCTACTTTTCTCTCCCGGTCTTCTCCAACCATTACCACTGACCCTGAACACTTACACTAACACATACATCTTCGTGACTGGGGAAACATTCCATTGTGATGGCAGCAGGTAAATGGAAACATGGTGTATATGGTTATTTGCCAAAAATTATTTAGTAAGTTATCAAAAATACTAATTTCTTCCATGAAGAAAGCCAATATAGAGCTAGGCTAAAATTAAAATTTAATTATAGATATCTAGTGGTAAAGTCTCGCCTTTAATTAAGGTTCTTTTCATGACAACTAATTGGAAAGAGTAATAAATAAACACATAAAGGTTTCCAAAATTTATCCCCTTAAGGAATATATATGGGTGCTAACACACTGGGTGGGTCCAAAAAAAAAAAAAAAAGGCAAACCAACAAAGACCACTCTGTAAATAAATCTAGTTTAGAAACAGACTCCCCCATTCAAAATATTGGCTTGAGCAATCACACTTTTTCTCATATCATACAGTACTTCAAAATAGCTGGGAATGCATCTCTCTATACTAGATCTTGATTCTGGTGTATCCCATAAGAGGGAAATGGAATTATGGCTCAGTCGCAAAGTCCTGGCCCTCAGCTTCCCATCGGCCTAAATCAATCCCCAGTCCAGGACAAGATGCTTTGAGAGATGCATAATTATTTCAGGCCACTAGGGTAAGCACTATTCCTGGCAATTCTGCGGGCAGTGCCATGGATGAGGGCTTCTAATTCTCTTTGGTGATTTGGTTCTGTATAAACTGAGATTTTTCTTTCAGGCTTTCAGCCAGGTAAGCAGGAAAGGTCGGCTCTGGTCCTGAGATCAAGGCAATCAAAGTCAATTTCAGTTCCTTTTCTGTGCAGTTTACTCTAATTTTTCCCAGGCTGCCTTCCTGACAGCTGTCCTTATATTTACATCTGATTATCAAATACTTAGTGAAAGAATCTTTGGCAGCTTCTGATGCTCACCTAGTCATCCAAAGGCCTCTCAGTCTAAGAAAGAACAGGAATACACTTCAAATCAGTTTCCTCGAGAGGCCAAACTAGACCCTAGGCCGTGAACCTGGGAGAAATGTCCCCCATGGGCATTGTGAGGGTGAGGTGGAGAATAATGCCTGCTCTCACCAGAGGCAACGCTGATTGAACTTGCCTATTACCAAATCTCTAATTTTTGGTTTGGTACTGCAGCCACAATATACTCGGTTACTACCTAATATAGAAAGAGAAAGGCAAATCTTGTCATTCCCATTTGGAAGACAGTGAAATCGAGGTTTAAAGGTTTAGAAAAGTTGTCTAAAGTGAATTCGACAAAGCAGTGTTGTACAGCTCCAGGCTGAAGAATCTCTAAGGTTGTTAAGAAGCACAAACGAGGCACGAGGGGGAGCAGGCTCTGATGTAAAAGGAATATCCTGTACCCCTCCAAAGGCCGATTTAAAACATCCTCTTCATCACTATGAATAAAAACTAACCAATATATTCTGTGCTTTTTCAAACTGTACTGCTCTCCCTCAGTGTCTTCATTAAATAAATGCAAACACGTGTGCTTTGAAATGGGTAGGTGTAAAAGAACACTCTGCACAATTATATCTAGGCTGCCGCAGATTTACATCACATGCATACATATATCTAGGAGATATTAATTCGCGGTGACAGCTGAGCATGACAAATGCAACAGTACACAAGTTTTAAGGCTGAAAACAATGCAACTACATAACCCACGCAGACAAACACGCATACAACGAGTTTTCCCTCAACACACACGTGGCCGCACTCACAGGAGCTTAACCACATTGAAAAACCCCAAACACAAACACAGGAGGCTCCGGCGCCCGCAAGCGGCCCCCACACAGGCAGCCGCGCCTTCATCTCCAGGCAGGGATTCTCGTGCGTCCCCGGGTACACTCGTCCTCCCACCGGCATCCCACTGCGCGAATACATGCTCGCCAGCCGGTCCCCGCGCGCGCGCCCGCCAGCCGGGGAAGCGGCGGCTCCCGGGGCTGGGGGCAGGGCCCGGTGGGGCGGGAGCGCAGCGGGGCCGGGCCTCCGTGCCCGGGGAGGGGACGAGGGGCGGGCGCGGGGCGGCGCCCGGCTCACGTGGGCGGGCGGGAGCAGCTGAAGGTCCGCTCCGGAGCTTGGGCTGTCCTCTCGCGCGCGGCGCTGGCCGGGGCGGCGGCGGCGGCGAAAGAGGAGGAGGAAGGCGGCGGTGGCGGCGGCAAAAGAGGAGGGAGGACGGGGGCGGCGTCGGACTGGAGCCGAGCGGCGGCGCGAGCTGCCCGGGCCGCTGTCGTGAGCTCGCCCGCCGGGCCCCCACCCCTGAGCTACACCCTGCCGTGCCCAGCACTGCCCGCGTCCGTGCCCCTGCGGGGAGCGCGCCGGGGCTGCCCCCCGAATGACGGGCGGAAGGTTCGACTTCGACGATGGCGGCACCTACTGCGGCGGCTGGGAGGAGGGCAAGGCGCACGGGCATGGCATCTGCACGGGGCCCAAGGGCCAGGGCGAGTACTCTGGCTCCTGGTCGCACGGCTTCGAGGTGGTCGGAGGCTACACCTGGCCCAGCGGCAACACCTACCAGGGCTACTGGGCGCAGGGCAAGCGGCATGGGCTGGGGGTGGAGACGAAGGGCAAGTGGATGTACCGGGGGGAGTGGTCACATGGTTTCAAGGGGCGCTACGGGGTCCGGCAGAGCCTGTGCACCCCCGCTCGCTACGAGGGTACCTGGAGTAACGGGCTGCAGGACGGGTACGGCGTGGAGACCTACGGGGACGGAGGTGAGCGGCGTAGCGGGCGGCTCGGCTGCTCCGCGAGCTGGTGCGGTGGGCTCTGCCCCGGCTGCGGGGAAGCGGGGAGGACGCCGGGCGCACGTGTCCGGAAACCCGCCAAAACACCTGGGGGCGCCTCCTACCCCTCGCCCGCGCCCGCCCTCCCCAGAGAGGGGCGCTGGGGCCGGACTGGGGCGCGAGGGCTGAATCTGACCCCGTTCTTAGAGCGGGCCGTGTGTCCACACTCGGGGGAGCGAGGCGTGAATGTACCTGGCCGGCGCCAGCGCTGCGCTGCCACCGGGAGGGAACGCCGCCCGGGAGGGCTGGGCTGGAGAGAGGAGGCTGTCACTTGAGCCCGTCACATTACGTTCCTGATCCCTCCCTCTCCCGGCCGGGTTTGAAATCGCCACTCCCGTGGAGTTAGAGCGAACACCCTGAGCGGGTGAGGCTGGCGGTCCGTGCTGACCGCTCCCCGGATTGGTTTCACGTGGAGTCGTATTTCGCTTCTGGTCCTCTAGTAGCCTAAAGATAGAAGCCAGAACCCCATAACTAGGATGTTGGGGAATTGTACCTTATTTGGGGGTGCATTTGGAAACGTCCTAGTTATGGGAGCGGAAAGGCCACCTGATGCAGGTGGAGTTCAGAGCGTGTGAGTTCCTAGTTTTCATTCCATTCCTTACAGTATTGGTCGTCCCATGAAAAGCATAGCAGTCTTTGCTGACCTGGAGATCTTGGACAAATTACTAGGAAAATATTTTAGAAATGGGCAACGAAGTCTATATTTTAAAAAAATACAGTTGACCGGTGGGTTCCTAGCAGCTACTTTACTCCTGAGAATGGCAATACTGAAACAATAATTTGCATTATGTATGACCTAAGCGGTATGCCTGGCTGTGAACAAAGATCACCTTATTTTAGTATTTAACAATATTTGCCAAAGAGATTGTGTATATACCAGAAGTTCCTCTTTTATTAGGAAAGGTATACATTATTGAAACAGGTGTCAAAACCTGCTGAATTTCCTTGTGTAATACGCTGAGAAAGATATTCGTGAATGGCTTATTGCTTTAGCAAAGTGCATTTCTTGATAATAAACATAATCATTTTTAATTGAAAAGGGTTGTAGGAGGCGACATCACTTTTTGGAATTAAGCAGCTCAGAGTTGGAGGATATTAAAGGGATCCAATTAAAAGTTTCTCCAGCCCACAGCAGCCCCATTTATACCATTGCATATATAAAAGCTCACACAATTTGTACACTTCACTTAGAACACTTGGGCCGTGTTTCAAATGCGAAATGGCAGAATGGTAGAACTTGCTAAAAAGGACATCTTTTCATCCTGCAGTATAAATAAAGCATATGGTTCTCATGGATTAAAAGAGAAAAACTTTCTCTAATACTTTTCTGTGGGGGCTGTATGAGTCCCGAGTTTCACTGTAGTTAACTGGGACCCTTAAATGTTCTGAATGGGCATAAAATGCCTGGTTGACAGCCCTGTAAATATGTTACTTTGTGACTGGATTTTATTGGAGGACCCAGCTCTTCCATATAACTAAATTCCATGCTCAAAAATAGGAGGCAAAATTTATTTATTTTTTAATGTGTGCATCATTTTATAACCTTTTAAGAAGGCCAAGGATGGTTCTCTTCAGTTTTGGAAGGTTTAAAATAGTCTCCTTTTAAAGATGCTATTCATTAAACACACTCTTGGTTTAGAGTATTCATTATACCTAGTAATCAAAATATATATAGCATGGTAGAGGCTGTCTGTGTGCATGTCATAGAAGCCCAAATAAGGCTCCAGAATGACTTTATGAATAATCTGCCTTCAGTTTTAAAATAAACTTTAAAAAGAAAAAACTTAAAATTTGGCATCATCATGGGTGGTACTGTGGTTTTCTTTTTCTACCCCCCAAAAATCTAATATGCTAGTTAGGAAGAAAAACCTTAAAAATCACTATTGAATGTCTATTCTGTGCTAGTGGATTTTCTGCTGTCTCTCATATTATTTCATTAGAAAGTCCTCAATCATAAAGGGAGTCTAAAGCAAGGGTATTGCTGTAACTTATTTTATACAAACATATTGGCCAAAATAGGAATATCACTAAAAAATTAGCTTGAGTTTGCCTGTTCTCACTAAGGAGTTAGCTGCTTGTTGTCTCCACTCTCCCCACCACCACGTGTCCATTCCTGTACACCCTTTATCAGATTCAGGAAAAATCTGATTCCGTGTATTTTGTGGTGACATTAAACTGGAGGAGGAAGGAAGCAGTAATTCCATGTGAGAAGTATCAATTTATTTTATTAGTGATTTGTTTGTGAAGTGTGGCTGAAATAAAAACCCCATGAATATTAACAATAAGTTATCATACTCATGAAATCCAAGTCTAAGTGCCCAGAATTTTTTGTGCTAATTCTGATCTGTACTTTGTTTTTTTCATTTGTCATAAAACTATTGAAAATATCTGGGAAAACACAAATGTTTTGTTAACTAGATGCATTCTTGCACATACCCATTCGTAGCATATAAACTTAGGTTTGGCATAGCAAAGTGCAAATTTGACTGAAACTCCTAAGCTGGATGCCTTCCACTACAAGACTGTGTAGTTAAAATGACTAGATCTAAAAAATTAGCTCCCAAATGAATACAGTTTAAAACTGGTAAAAGTAATTTTTACACTTGTGAAATATGCATCTATATTTTAGGAATCAAGAGGAACTAATTAGAACTTTATTTGAGCAGCAGGAAGAAGTTGGAACCCACCTGCTTCATAAAGAAATTGGCCCTTTTTTTCTAGGTTCATTGACAAAACTAAACCTATTTTAAATTTCAGATGAACTGCTAACAGTTTGACTGTAAATTGGTTTCTAGCAATTCTGCGGAGGAATTCTTTCATACACTGTGATTTAACAAAATCGGAGGGGAATGTGGCCAATGCTCTTGTCCTCCCTTCTTTATTTGACAGTTAAGCAGAGACTTAAACTTTCTAATTATTGCTGTTGCCTTAAACAGCTTGGATTTTCAAGCCATACTTTTTTGGAAATTCTAAATACTGTACTTGTCTTATTTTTGGAGATAACAGTTTAAGGAAACTAGCTGTTAATTTTTCATCAGTGTTAGACATTAACCAAGATGGTATGGTTGTGTTTTAAAAGTGCAGATACTTAGTGATATCAAACAGCATTTCTGCAAATTGTTTAGCAAAATTAACTTGTCACTATAGACAAAAGTTAGGAGGATATGATTATAGCATTCGTTTAACCAACAAAATATTAAAAATAAGGTGATTTATTTTAGTACATTCAGGCCAGGTTGTATAACTTTCATCCTAGAATTTAAATTTTACCTAGAGGCAAAGGAAAAGTCAAAGTCAAAATTTCCTAGTAATTCCATTCCCATTCCTGTTGAGATGATGGTATTTGGAGACGGCCAATATTCAGTAGGAAGCTTCTCAGCCTGAAATGTTTTACATGACTATCTTATCCTCTTGGGTTAATCTTTTGGAGAAAACTATGGGCCACCCACCTCCTCAAAAGTTCATGGATGTCAGGTTAATACTTCACATCTACTCAGAATATGACATTCAGAGTACCAGACCCACTTAGTATTTCATTGTATATCTACTGTTGCCTATGTCACATATGTCAGAATGAACAAGAGAAGGCAGTCTTGAAATTGGTCAAAACTGTTGACTTGGGAGTCATTATGGTTTTAACTTTCAAGTGCAATGAAATAACCGGCCATTGTTAAAAGAGTTACATAAAGCCACTAGCATTTTTGCCTAGTGTTTTAAAAGTGAATGTATGCCATGCAGTGGAAATCTGTACATGGCATTATAAAATACAAAGTGACTGCAGGGTAGATCTATATAATCAGAAATTGAAAGAGGTCAAGACAGACTAATCATGATTTATTTTCTATGACATTGTGAATTGTTATGAATAACACAGAAGTAATTACATTTAAAATTTTCCAGATAGCTTCTTTTGAGGGATACTGTGAACTAAAATTTATTCTTAATTAAAGGAAATGGACTTGATTGTGAAAAGAAACTTCTAAATTCCCTAATTTAACATTCATTTCCTCCTAACATTATTTTAAAGCTTGTACCAGGTTACTTTTTAATGTCTTTGCTTATTTTAGTAGCAAAAAAATTCACTATGAACAAATGGTTTAGATTAGAGATTATCCTGAGAAAGCATAGTATTTGTTGACAGAGTGATCTGGTATCAACAACATTTTAATGGATACTGTCAAATACACCGTTCCTCTGAGACTAAATCCAAAATGCTAACAGTGGAAGATTTCATCCGGCCTCATATCAGTTTCTCCAAGGGTAAAGGGTATAGTTTTTAGCCACCATAGCTTTTTACCATCAACATAGTCATCAAACACCCTTAGTCCACAAACACAGACCACAGGACACAAGAAAATTTTGTGTTCTCATATGAAGTAACTCCTGTCCTCAGGGTGCTTCTAGTCCGTGGAGTGATTCACAATGCAGTGGCAGCTAAGGAAATCCATAGAGGATGCAGAGATTGGGCAAGTGATATGGCACAAAGCTTTGATCTTTTCACTTAGAAGCACAAAAATGTTAAATTGCCCAGTTTTTTTCATAATAATTCATTGTGTTCAAAATATATAATATGTATTGTGGTTGTCAATTCACTCTTAGCTCAAAAAGGCTCACCCAAATTCAAATGATAATCCTAAATATTCAACAGTTTTCTCTACACTAAAAAAAGAGATGCTGAATATAATGGAAAATTTTAAACATTCATTTGATGACTGTGTCCCAAGTATTCAGATTTAAGCCTGTGTGCTTTTTGGAATGTTATACTGACGTAGACCTAAAAGTCATTTTTTAGAGTTTTCCAGCTAAATTAGTAATCTTAGAATAAAACTTACAAATAGAATTCACTTCTTCTTCTCCTCTTTCCTTGTCTTCCTAAGAGGAATTTTTGATGCATTAATTTCAGAGGGGAATGTTGTTTCTCAGTATCAACTTTTTGTATTAGAAAGTAGTGGTTTTCCTCTGAAATACATAAATTTTTTAATGAAAAGCAAAAAATATCTGAGTACTGGAAAACTCTATACAATGACATTAAATCCTTACACGCAGAATTACGGTGCGGGGGTGAGGGGGGATTCACAAGTGGATGCAAAGTATCCCCCAGGGTTGACTTGAAATGGGTCAGATTTGACCCTGGGCAGGCCTGTGCCAAAGTGCGCCGGATGGTGCAGGCGATCGCGCAGCTTCTGCCCCCTGCTCACACGGTGCTTTCTTGCGGTCTCTCCAAGGTACCTACCAGGGCCAGTGGGCCGGAGGCATGCGGCATGGCTACGGCGTGCGCCAGAGCGTGCCCTACGGCATGGCCACGGTGATCCGCTCGCCGCTGCGCACCTCGCTGGCCTCGCTGCGCAGCGAGCAGAGCAACGGCAGCGTGCTCCACGATGCCGCGGCCGCCACCGACAGCCCGGCCGGCACCCGCGGCGGTTTCGTGCTCAACTTCCACGCAGACGCTGAGCTCGCGGGCAAGAAGAAGGGCGGCCTCTTCCGGAGGGGCTCTCTTCTCGGAAGCATGAAACTTCGCAAGTCCGAATCCAAGTCTTCCATCTCAAGCAAGCGCAGTTCTGTCCGCAGCGACGCGGCCATGAGCAGAATTAGTTCCAGCGATGCCAACTCCACGATCAGCTTCGGCGACGTAGATTGTGATTTTTGCGCGGTGGAAGACCACGTGGACGCCACCACCACGGAAACCTACATGGGCGAATGGAAGAACGACAAGCGCAACGGCTTTGGCGTTAGCGAGCGCTCCAATGGCATGAAGTACGAAGGCGAGTGGGCAAATAACAAGAGGCATGGATATGGCTGTACCGTGTTTCCTGACGGCTCCAAAGAAGAGGGAAAATACAAAAATAATATTCTGGTCCGTGGGATAAGGAAGCAGCTTATACCAATAAGACATACAAAAACTAGGGAGAAGGTGGACAGAGCAATTGAAGGCGCCCAAAGGGCAGCTGCCATGGCGAGAACCAAAGTGGAAATAGCAAATTCAAGGTGAGTGAATGCAGGGTGGGCAGTTTGGCCAGGTCGGTCAGAACAATGGAGTATCAAATGTTATGTTTGTCTGTCTGCAGGTGGCATCGCTAAATGCGTTCTAGAACTGCTAAAAAATCAAAGGTGAAAAATGATTACACACAGTAGAATGAAAATCAGAAATGTACCTGCACTGTTCTGAAACTTGCCATCATCAAAAACTGTCGAAGGCAGTTTAAACTCCCCTTCCTACTCTAAATTACTTCTCTAATATTTAACAGCATGAGGGAGTTCACTGAGACCCTGTGCTCATCTTCCTGGGCCAGGGAAGTTACTGTTTTCTTTTGTTTTTTGTTTTTTGTATTTTTTAAGAAGGACCTCTGAAATACTGCCATAGAAAGCACTGTGTTTTGTGTACCAAAAGAAAGTAGCAATCCATGTAGAAACATACTTAGTATAGATGTGTACCTTTATTCTGATATTTACATTGGAGGTATATATACTTATCCTAGCTTATACAGTTCATATTCTGTTTACTGAAACTTCAGAGGTGAAATTGATTTTGAGACAGCTACCAAAATCTACATGTGTCAAAAGTGGAAACTAACATGACAAAATCTGCCATGCATTGTTTAAAACAACAGAGCTACATAGGAAAGGCAAAGAGACCCACAAGAATCACCACATTCTATGCAGAAGAGATTAGGTCACTGGTGTATTAAAAGGAAAGGGGTGGAGAGAACCTGACATGGACAGATGGGACTCTCAATGTGCCAACGTTGGAAGAAAGAAGAGCAGTGAAGAAAGGCTGTAGTGAGTAGGAGAAAGCCAGTGAATAATAGATTGACAAGTGGGGTGTATGTGTGGGCACAGAAGGACTATGTGCTTGAAGTTTTACCATTAATAGCTGGTTTCAGGTATCCAGCAAGAGGGATGGAGAAATCTATTGGGAATAGAGTTCTATTAGGTAAGGACATCATAGGTGAGACAAAAAGAAAAAGGTGTGGTTATAAATGGAACATTTTATTTTTAGGCTGATTTAAGTGGGTACTGACTAGCCACAACTTTGTAAGACTTGAAGCATAAATTTAGTATAGAATATTAAAAATCCCGTTTCTGCCTCAATAATACTCTTCCACAGAAGTAAATATCCTTTTGAAACCACAAAATGTTAGCATGTCTTCAGGTTCATGGCACTGGATTGATGAACCCCCCTTTTTTTTGGTTGAGCCACATGAAATTTCCACTGAACTTTTAAATGTACAAAAAAATGGTGACTTTATATGATTCAACTTAGTACTTATAGAGTTCTTTTTTTTTAACTGCCCCTACTTAAAAAATAAGTAGGGCTACTAAGTAAAGTAAGGCTGCATTTTTTGCATTACTTTTAGATGTATATTATGTTATATATATTACGTTAAAAGGCCCCAAGCTTTTCATTTTTATCCCAAACTAATCCCATTTCCAGGCTAATATTTTTTGTTGATCAGCACAAACTTTGATGAAGGGTCTTTCCTGTCTTCTCTACCAGGCCCCTTTTACTTTAGATGACAGTTTTGGATCTACTTTGCTTTTCATTTTGCTTATAGATCAGATACTCAGCACATCTGATCTTGCTAGCTTACTAGTGATATATATTGTTAGGCCCTAGCCTCTCATTTTAAGTGCACACTTGGATTCTTCCATGTCGTTTTCTCCTTACAACTTAGTGATATGCTAAAGGCAGATCAGTCTTGGCAGGTGAAAAATGAACCTCTGCAGAACACTTCAACAAATGACTTATTCTTATGATTAGTTTCCGTTGGAGGAGTTTGTATAACAGAAAGGGACTAGCAATGCACAGGTGATCTTTGATTAGGCTAGTATTATCAAACTATCACCGAGGTCCTAGCCATGTTCTCTCTGTTGAAAGTCTTTTGGGGGTAGTAGTATTTCATTTGAGATATAGTTATAATCAAGAGATCTTTAGTTTAACACCTTATATTTTTAGCCAGTTACTTCATAAAGATTTCACCTAGCTATGTTTAAAATGCTTAATTCATTATGCAAATGAAATAAGCCAGTCACAAAAAAAAACAAATACTGCATGATCTCACTTAATCAAGTACTGCAGTGACCTCACTTGATCTAAAATGGTCAAGCTCATAGAAACATAGAGTAGAATGTTAGTTGCCAAGGACTGTAGGATGGGGAAAATGGAGGGTTGCTGTTCAACAGATACAAACTCTCAGCTGTGCAAGATGAGTAAGTTCTATAAATCGGCACTACAACATGGTGCCTATAGTTAAAAATCCTGTATTGTGCATTTAAGAATTTGTCAAGGTCAGGTGCTGTGGTACACGCCTGTAATACCAGCACTTTCGGAGGCTGATGAGAAGGATCACTTGAGCCCAGAAGTTCAAGACCCATCTCTGCAACATAGTGAGACCCCCCTCTCTACGAAAAATAAGAAAACTAGCCAGGCGTAATGGGCACACACCTGTAGTCCTAGCTACTTGGGAGACTGAGGTGAGAGGATGGCTTGAGACCCAGAGGTCGAGACTGCAGTGAGCTGTGACTGTGCCACTGCACCCCTGCTCACATGTCACAGCAAGACCCTGTCCCAAAAAACAAAACCAAAAAAGGAATTTGTTAAGAAGGTAGGTCTCATGTTAAGTATTCTTACCACAGTAAATAAAATATTGTTCGGATGACACAATCAACAAATTAAAAATAAAAGCATTCGATTAACCTTCTGTATTTTACTCAGTTTCACTGTTTTAGTCCTTTTCCCAGATTACTTGCTATTACACAATGAGCACTTCAGATTAGAGCTTCATAACTTGCTTTTGGAGAAAGCAGCTAAAGGAATGACATTCCCCTTAAAATAGCTCTGAGTTTAGAGTTCTACACTCTTTTAAAAACTTTAAAAAAAAGAAAATATTCTCTTAAGATTTGCTGCCTGGGGGATAGGACTTTTACCTACATTATTGTCATAAACCATGGCTCTTTTCTAATGCCAGAATAGCTACAAAATGTCCATATAGAACATCTGTACGACCCCTCTATGGTTACTGTTATCAGTGTTTTTGTTTTTAAAACTACTGAAAATTTAAGAACATAGATGACACCCTTCCCACCTAGCCCAGTGATGACAGAAGAAAAACTAGAAACTAAGTCTCTTGGCAGCTACTGCTATTGAAGTCACTAATTCATCATTAGCAACAAACGGAGATGATCAATGAATAGTTATTGACTATTCAGTTTGTCCACCCAGGTAGTATAAATCACTGTTTCTCAGCAACATAGTGAGACCCCGTCTCTACAAAAAGTAAGAAAGTTAGCTGGGTATGGTGGCGTTTAACTGTAGTCCTAGCTACGGAGGAGACTGAGGTGGGAGGATAGCTTGGTAGAGAAGACTGAAGACCCCCAATTTCAGATCTGGAAAGGCCAAGAGAGAGCATCTGGTCCAAGCCCCTCACATTCAGAGGCAGGGACCTGGGCTCTACCCAAGATCACCCCACTGTTTCTGTAATGTTTTCATTCCATTTCTGTTACTTATGCTTTAGAGACTTTTATTTGTTTTTTAAGTCCCAGGGAAATGGGCCTGCCTTTGTACCATCATTCTATTTTATCTTGAAGCAAAGGTTCAAGCTGGCTCTAAAGGAAAACAATTATATTCTCCAGTAATGTCTCCAGGAGACACAGAACATCTTTGGCCCAGAGATTCATGAAAGCATGGTAGATCTGTGGATCTTTACTTTGCTTTTCTGAAGAGGGAGTTGTGCTGCTCCCCAGTAAACACGTGCAGAAGGCTTGTTTCCGAAGGCTTATTATGGGCCTCTGTATAATTCTGACAGGTCAAAAACTATCGGGATGGCATAGGGTAGATAGTAGATATCACATAGTAGATATAGAGTTGATAGATTCTAGCAGGTTAGCACTTAGAGTCAAGACCATAGGAATGCTAATAATTTACTGACTCCTGGAACTTATTTTTAGTCTTGTGCTCTGCTCCAAAAGGTACTGTGTTTATAAGATTTAACAAAATTTTACTTCCCTTTTGTCTTGGTCCTAAGGATATAAATCATCACCTGGGATTGAGAAAGGGTCTCAACCTTTTTTTTTTTTTTTTTAAGAGATGTTCAAAAGGCGGGAGAGCAACTCTAAATATCTCAAGAAATGAGTGTACCTAGCAGCTGCTGAGGCTGCTCCATGCCAGTAGCTGACATACCACCTCTAGTCCTGGGATCCCAGCATCTCTGCTCTTAGGTGAAGATGCTACTCCGAGAGACAGATGTTAGAACTAGGGAGAGTGGAGCTAGCATCTAAGCCCAAGCTCCATGACCTTTCTTTTGTCAGTGTGTACCCTTGATGGTAACTTGGCCAGTCAGACCCTTCTGAGTCCCTGGCGTGTTTTTTCAGAGCCCTAAACTATAGCTAGAGCCTTATAATTTAGAATTGGATCCCCCCAGTATGCTGAATTTACTTTTTAGAGAATATAGGCAGAATCTGTTTTGGTAGAAGAGACAGAGGGCCTCCAATTTCAGATCTGGAAAGGGCAAGAAAGAGCATCTGGTCCAAGCCCCTTGCATTCAGAGGCAGAGACTGAGGCTCTGCCTAAGATCACCCCACCGTCCCAGTTGTTTCCATTCTGTTTCTTAGGCATTCAGTTTTCATTCCCTTCGTTTTTGCCTCCTCAATTCCTTCAGCTTCCTGTCATTTCAACTGCATTTCTCATTTGGTCGATTTTTACTCCATTGACTCTCGTCTCAATAATTCCTTAAATGGGATGTTCAAGGATGTCACTACTTGAGAAAAATAGTCTAAGAAAGCATTTTAAGATAAGGCATTTGGCTGAGAAAACAAGTAAGAGATGACCTGTAGAGAGCTCCACTTCTGTGGAAATGAACAGATCGCTTAGGAAGAGGTGTGGACAGAGCATAGTGTGATCCAAGTATTGGAAGAAATAATTATCTTGCAGGAATATGGAAGATGTAGGAGGGGTGGGAGAGAGCTGGCCTCAATCAATTAAGAACCAC